CATTGCATGGGGCCCCGAGGGACATGAGCACGCTTTGCGTAGATCTGATTGACAAGTTTTTGAACGCGTTTTATTGCTTTCTAACAAATTACTGTTGAGATTTGCAAAAGAACATGTTGAACTTGCGCTGTTAAACGAGCTAACACATGTTCTTTCACAGATCCCCAATATAAGATCGCGCCCAAAGACTTTTGAAGGCAGTGGCTCACCAAAGAATTAAGTTTGAGAATTTTTGTATACTACAAGCCTTACCGATCCTGTAAAATTGTAAACAGGTTCAGATTAGATCATTTTTTTGAAATTTGCCTAGTTTTAGAAACCACGTTTTCTGAATGCCCGCATAAACAGCGAGAACGAGCTATACCCTTCTACATCAGTTCTCGCCGCAGGGTAAGACACGTCAAGAAGGATGAGGACGCTTGGGAGGACGTGTTGAAACGCGAAGGCATAACCGGCAAGGGGCGTCTAGGCGTGCGTAAAATCGCCGTGTGCGTACGACTTCAAGCGCAGAAGAGAACTTATCGAGTGGGACTTGGGCAATGACCTACAATCTAGTCACTAACCAAACCTTGAGACATCAGACCCGAATTCGCGGACCCACTACCTTTAAACAAAGGTACGCAAAACATGCTTATGTCTTTTAGTCAGAGAATAATTGATACATCGTCGGGACGACGAAGTGCGCGGCTGTCTTACTTCTTGAGATCTTTTTGCATTGTTCGTCCGCCCCTCTGCAAGCCGCCTCAGTGACGTAATAGCAGCGCATAACTTTTAAACTGTAAACATCTCATTCATTGTTTTGGTAATGTAAATGTGTCTACGATTATTTATATATCTTGCAGATGTCGCTAAAGGAAGTGGAGAGCGGCTGCTCTCCTTTGCATGGTTGGCTTACGATGTGTTAGCTGTCGTAAAGCAACATAATATCATTTCTGATGAGAATTACGATCCGCCAACCTCTCCCGTATTGGACGTGAGTTGTTTCAGTAATTTTGGCTAAGCGGTAGGTTGAACAAAGTTTTCTGTAGGGGATTAAAATTAAATCTAATTTATGACTCACAAGCCTTTCTTCTCTACCTCAGGCCAATCTGTGCTCGGTTACTACGCCTTCATATGTGTGACGAAATTCAATCTTGCCGTAATTTTTTGAGTGATGCATCAGTTTTGCAGATACTGGGGTCTCGTTTGGATTCGTTCTATTTGGAGAATTTGGAGAAAATTGAAACTTTGATGGGCGAGCTAAGCGAGACAAAGACGCAGTTGTATCGGTATCTGAGGTATTATCCAGGTCAGTTGTGGTTTTCTCGTTTAGCGCAGAGTGTGAAATTGGTCATAAATTGATCATCTTGCAGGTTTGGAGCGAATTTTTTATGTAGTAGTCTCGTGGGCACGGCGTAATCAGTTGTTGAATGAGTGTATACGAGCGGAACATATGTGTATGATGCTAACTCTGTTTGCTACTGGTCGTATCCTTGGTTCTACCAGTATAATGCCACCTGTATTGGATACGGTAAACATCTGCAATTGTTATTTTTAATAGGGTACCGTCATGCCTTTACAGTTGTCAGCAGCCACGGTTGAAGAGGACGATATCGTCAAGCCTACCACTGAACAATACATTAATATGCTTGTTCTGTTTTATGAGTACATGGCATCTAGATATTTCAAGAAGCTCACGCAATTGTCATTTGCTGAGTTGGGTTGCAGCTCTGTATTCTTGCGAGGGCAGTGGGTGCCAATACATGAGGTGGCTTTTTTTTTTCAAGCATAACTCCTTTTTTATTTTCATGATCGTTTTATAGGCAGCAGTCGACACTTATTACAATTTGGTGCTCAATTTGGATCTTGAGGGATTATTGGGTCAAGATGTTCTTTCCACAAATGGTTCGTGTCGAGAGTGTGAACCATTTACCATTGAATTACCTGGTTTGTTTTGCTTCGAATCTTAGAAAGTTCCTATCAATGCTTTCCTCACCAAAAAATATGAAGAGTGTTCGCCGAGTCTAAGACAAGATTGTTCACCAGCTTGGAATCAGAGCAGGCTAAAATTATCAGCACAAATTGGTAGAAACGAGTGGATAGTTGGTTAGAAAAATGATTGAGTTTTGATCTAGTTTTGAACCTGCTAACCCAGAATGTGGGAATCTGCTATCCTCTGCTATTTGCCATCAATAAACGGTCAAAAAGCAGTACAGTACCATTATCTGCTCCCCCTTCACACCTATGCTGTGGGAGCGGATT